CCCAACCAACTCTCTCGTGCGCAACCATCACGTTGCGCCCAGGCCATGATCTGATTGGTCATGGTGCTGATTTGTGATCTGCGTGCAAAGAATCACTTACGCCCCTCCGGATGAACCCTCTCTAGGGCAACGCTTTCTATCTAAGTACGTTTCTGAGCGAACCAGAATGCAAGGAACATTTCAACAAGAAATACCCGTTTCTAGATTTGTATACTTCACAGTACATCTCGTCTCGTCGATGTGGGCACTTTGATGCTTCTCAACCCGCAACTATACAACTCTACCTTACACAGTATTCACGTTGAGGTAGTTACGTCAATGTTCGTCGTCGAATCAGGCTCCTCCATCGTGAGCCCGTGGTCTGTCACTGTCATCCACTTACGAAACCCCACGTTGTGACATGCTGCATCGTCGAGGCTTCGGGCTCTAAGAAAGCCCTCTTAGCCTCCCCAGGGCGGGCTCTCGTTTCCCACAAGACCAGACACCCCCTCCCTACTCTCCCGATGGCCGATGTGCCCATCTTTTGTTCCTAATCCTCCCTCGGGAAGTCCTGTGGGGTTATTCAATCCCGCGTCGCCGCAATGTGCCTCCTCTGTTTACTCAACCTCTCGGCTTCCAATGATCCCAGGGAAATCCTCCGCCTTTGGGCCGATTTCTGCCCGGGTTGCCCCCTCCTTCGCGCGGGCGGCACACCCACCACTGCACCTTGCAGTAGCCGCCTCACCCCGCTTCTCGTCCAAGATATCACGGCGGGGTTCATCACACCCCTCTGCGCTCATGATTACTGCGCCTTTCCCGATCTCTTCCGTTTTGCCTTGCTTTTAGTCCCGAACGGCCGGTCGACCAAAGGCGCCGGTGTGCGTGCTGACCTGACCTTAGCCGCCATGAGACGATGATGGGATTTGTAGATATGTCGCGCAGCTTGTTCGGAGCTAGCCAACGTGGAATAGCCAACGGCGCCGATTCTCGGAACGAGGTGGTCTCTCCAAACGCACCAGTCGTCACACCCACGTTTGAATTCCTGTGGGCCACCATCGATAAGGAAACCTCGCCCCGTGGTCCTTGTTTGTGTATGGAGCCATGCTACCGCGACGACGATGTTTGGGATTATCCCACTTCATTTTGATACTTTCGCGTCTCGCATACTACGAAAGGGCTGAGCCCTTATTTGCCATCACGAACTTCGAATTGCCGGGCTCACTCGCGGATCGACATGTATTCGCGACACGCCTAGTAAAGTCAGCGCGTGTAAGCGTGTCAGTGATGGAACTCCGACTTACTGCCTTGAGAACGTTGAGCCGTTCTTGCGAGTCCCGGAATACTTGTCGGTACTGGCCTAGACTTTCCCGCAGAACTGCCTCCTTGGTCATGCGCCCGTCGCAGATTGCCTTCATCTTGTTCTCCATCTCTTTCCGCAAGAATGGCTTGCCCAGACTAGTTTCGAATTCCATGCGATCGAATCCCGTGATGAGTGCCACACCGAGCTGGGTCGGGATGAAGACCTTGAGCCCTCTCCGTCCCGCCGACGACGCGCCGCGACCCCCTCTGCCACCGCGACCACCGCGATTGCCGCGGCCTCCTCGGCCGCCTCTAGCTGGCGGCGAAGGAGGTCTATCCCGGTCGTCATCATCGTCGTCACCATCCTGGCCACGTTGACCCCCGTCAGCTAGCTGGACGTATTCTCTGTCTTGGATCTTTTGAATGTGCTCCGCCATCGTAGCATCGGTTCCGATTCCGTTGGCATCCATGAGCGCAATGAGGTCTGCTTCTGTGAGGTAGTTTGGCGGGCTTGTCTTGCCATCCGTCATCAAGGCTTCTGTTGGCTGGAATGTTTCGTCTGGCGTGAATTTGGGTAATTCTGCAGAGTCGTTCCACTTCTCGTAGACAAAGACGTCAAGGTAGTTGCGCTCTAGGACGACTAATCCACGGGTATGGAAGGTCTCTTCACCATAGAGTATCTCCACGTCGGTTGCCAGGCCTTTGGCATCTTCGGAGCAACAAGCAAGGAACCGCCGTACAACGTATTCGTAAAGCTGCTTCTCATCTGCACTCAGTACCGTAGGCGCCGCGTACGTGACTGGATGAATGGGTGGATGGGCCTTGTCATCATGTTTTCCCTCCCGCGGTTGACTGAAGCTCCCATCCAAAAGACTCTGCGCGTATGGGCCCCATCGAGAATCGGGCGTCTGCTTCCTGCATAGTGCCTTGAGGTCCATGCCTTTGTCGAAACGATCTGTTTCAGTTCTAGGATAGCTGATAAACCCTTTGTTGTAGAGACCCTCGGCGACTGTCATGGCCTGTTGACCACTCATCCGGAGAAGGCGAGTTGCTGCCTTTTGCAGCTCGACAGTGGTCAACGGCAGAGGCTTCCATTTCCTCGTTGGCTTCTCCTGGACCTTTGTAACTCTGGCTTTCTTCGCGTTGAGGCATCGTTCGTAGAGAATGACAACAGACATCCGATCAAAGAGACGGTTTCGCGACCAGCTGAAGTTGACTTTCTTGCCCTCACGAGAGTGCATGACTTTGATGCTCCAGAACGGCTCGGGGACAAAGTTTTGGACCCGGAAGTACCGATCTACGACGAATCCTAGAGTTGGAAATTGGCAGGAGCCTAAGGTTTGGTTAGAAGACGAATAGCAGAATACGTGCAAGCTTACCATAACTGATTGTTCGTTCCTGCAGCGCACCTCCCAGGGGGCGAAGGCTAATGGTCAGGAAACGCGTAAAAGCATACCCAATCCTAAGATCCAGCTCTATTCTCGCATCTACGGCGTCGACTTGTTTCTGATCAAGGTCTGTGAGGCGTCGGGCAGCAGTGAGAATGTGGCTACAAGCTGTCAGAGAGAGACACTCGCATGTAACAAAAAAGGGGCCAGGCTTACGCTCGTTCGATGTTGCTGAAAGTGGCACGCTTGACGGTGATTCGGCTGTTGCCTTTCTTGGCAGCATTGACGATTTCTTTTCCAATGTGCTCTCCCTCTCGATCACAATCAGTCCAGATGACAAGAAGTTGGCAGTACCGAGCTTGCCGCTCAATGTTCTCCGCAACGGTTTTCTTGTCCTACACATGCGACTATCAGAATCCAGGCAACCTATAACGAGAAGCAGAAGACGTACCTGAGGCACTACTGTTACTACTGGTGCACTGAACAAGCTCTCTGGCGGCGGGTGCGACCAGTTCTTGTTCTCTGGTGTGAACTCGAGTCCCGTAAGATGGCCCAGAACGGCCGTCATGGTAACACCACACGAACCCCACGGAGCGCCAAAGTCAAAGTCGAAGCCATAGTTTTTGATGTATTGAGAACGAGTGTTGTGCTGAGAAGTGTCAGCTTGCGCCAGAAAAGTGCGGCTTGCTTGATGCGATACTTACGACTTCAGGGCTTCGTCCTGCCAAATGGCCGGCAACGGCTTTCGAAATGGATGGTTTCTCGGCAACGCAGAGGACCTTCATCTTCTCGATGTGTAGGAACAACTGGTGCTCACTGCATGTAGATGGTTTGGGGCCCGGTAGGTCTTTGATCCCCGGCACTTCCCGCGAGTGCAGTCACAAATGTTATTGCTAGGAGAGCAGGAGCATCTTGCGATATCTACGTCCTTGCCTCGGAGACGCGTCTTCACGGGCTTGAGCGCGTCAAACCCTCATACGGCAGCTAATCAGTGTCTCTAGCACGTGCTGAGGAATCCAGCGTATGTGATTGCGAAGAAATCCTAAAAGCTCTGCCCAACTTTAATGTCACCCATCGACACATGAAAGATTTTGAAATGCACGTCGTTGTCGTTGAATTGAAGTCGAGACCATCTTCCTCGCTAAGGTACCTATGCCTGGCTGAACCCCACAGCGGGGCTGCCGCGCTGATTCGCGCCGTGCTTCTGGGCTTCAGCTCTGGAACCCCTGGGCCGGTTGGCGATCTTGAGGTGCCATCGATTATCTAAGCAGCGGTACCTCGACTCTCGAAGCTGGAATCCCCAGGCAATCGAAATGCTGCCCGTAAATGTACGGACGGTTATGAGTTAACTGCCTTAGTTGGGATGAAAAGAAGAAGAGGGAAAAAGTCGCAAAGTAAGTCGTCTCGAACCCGCGACCCCCCTCGATCTCGAGGTTCAGCCAGGTAGGTACCTCTGGTGACGGCATCAGGATCCTTCTTGGGAATTGCATCTCCTCGTCACCCAAAGTACTGGTAACCGAAATGATAAAAAGGGAAGCTGCCCGCTATGGCGTCACATCTGGTACCGCTTGCCACTCAAGGCTGCCCATCTAGGCACTCTAAGAGTAGAGTGTTAAAGGCACAATTGTACCGTTCGGCCGTCGTTGACAACGGGCGGTGCTTCCTTAGAGCAAACATTGCAATTCTGGCCCTATGGGGGTGGGGTCGTTGCTCTCCACGAATATACGCATCGTGAATACATAGGATTACCTACCTAATTGAATACGTGAATACCTACTGATACAAAAATTGAGCCTGTCGAGATGGTGGCCACCACCTCACATGCAAGACTAAACTGACGTAAGCCACCGGTCCAACTCTACATCTCATCGGGGAAAATTGTACAGATTGATCGACACCATTGCACAGATCGGAGATCTCACTGCCAGAAGTTCTTATTCTTACTACAAAGTTACATTTCCCCTGCTCAGTACCTTCTCACAGAAAGAGTAGGTACTGTAAGCAACGGTTTTCCATCTACCTTACCTTACCTTACCCTAGGTATGGATCTCTAGGTTGCGCAGAGGACGGATCTTCGGTCTCAAAATGGCCGAAGACCCCTGCACGTCACCGGAGCTGGCGGCGGGGACCTAAGCTCCCTGCGGATCTATGACGCGCTTTGTTTGCATCACCTCACTGCTGCTCCCATTTGCACCACCAAAGCTGTATCGTCAATAAAGACGGTCCTCGAGACAACCTTTTCGCAAGCCATTCGCAGTTTTCAAACGTCTGGAGGTGCAAAATCGCAGCTACACTAGAATCCAGGCCAAGTCCAGACACCCTCACCTGTCCGCAATGGCGCTCCCCGCAGTCAAGTCTCTAGAGGAGTGCTCCGAGTGGGCCAAGGTCGTCGAACCCTTCATCCCCCAGCTCCTCGAGCTCCCCGGCAAGATCATCGCGAGCCCGCAGTCGCTGCCCCAGATCTACCTCGAGACGAACCCCCTCGTCTCCGGCTTCGCCTTTTCCCTGCTCATTGCCGTCCTCACTCTCGGCGTGTCAGAGTACCACCGCAACTTTTCCCAAATCGACCGGCTGTGGAGTCTCCTGCCCAACTGGTATGTCCTGCACACGGCGGCATGGGCGTACCTAAATGGCGAACCTTGGCAGCGAGTCGCGCTGGCCGGGGCCGCGACCACCCTCTGGAGCGTAAGGAGAACAACAACGACCCAGTGACCACGCAGCTCGAGGAGATGAAGTGCTGACACAATTGTGCCGATAGTCCCGATTGACCTTCAACTACTGGCGCAAAGGAGGTTACGAGCGTGGAAGTGAAGACTACAGATGGTACTGAATCTCCTCCCCATCGAACATTGCCCCTCCAACAAGTTTTCTAACATTGTGCATCCACGCAGGGAAATTGTCCGCGCATACGTCCCCGCCTGGGTCTTCTTCCTCTTCAACGTGACCTTCATCTCCTTCATCCAGTCCATCCTCCTCTTCGCCTTCTCCGCCGCGCCCGCCTACTCCCTCCTCCTCGCCAGCCGCATCGAGCCCGACCTCGCCGCCTCGGACTACTCCTTCTTCGCCATCCTCGCCGGCCTCGTCCTCAGCGAGTACATCAGCGATGGCCAGCAGTGGGACTACCAGACCGCCAAAGCCACCTACAAAAAGGGCAACGGCGCCGCCGCCTCCGTCCCCCGCGGCTGGGCTCAGGCGGACCTCGAGCGTGGCTTCGTCACGCACGGTCTCTGGGCCTACAGCCGCCACCCCAACTTCTTCGCCGAGCAGATGGTCTGGTTCGTGCTCTACCAGTGGAGCTGCTACGCCACCAAGGTGCTGTACAGCTACACCTTTGCCGGCTCCGCGTTCCTCGTGCTGCTGTTCCAGGGCTCGACATGGCTCACTGAGCTGATCACTGCGGGCAAGTATCACGAGTACGCCGAGTACCAGAGCCAGGTTGGCATGTTTATGCCCAAGTCGCTGTTTCCGTACAAGAAGCCCCCGCCAAAGGTCATCCGCACGAGCGAGCTTGCCAAGCGCCAGGGCAAGAAGGATAAATAAAGAAGGAATAGACTAGAAACATGCTTGTCCATGTTAAGACACGGCCTATTCAGCCGTAACGGGGAATCTTTTCTGGTCCGGGGGCTGGAATAGATGGTGAAATGCATCTGTGTATTCTTCTAGGGAAGGTCTTTTTCTAGTTTCTGGTGAGGTCGTTATGGAGTTCATCTATGCATCCGACGCATGTAATCATAGGAAAAATAATCATACCAAACTCATCCCGACCATTGCCACCCAGTCGGCCTGACTCATCTCCCTCCCTCAAACATCAAGCTTCAGGCTGGCAAGGCTGTCAACATAGTACGCCGGCACGGCCGCGGCCCCCTCCTTCTCCCAATCCTCCTTCTTGTGCACGCCAGTCAAGACGGCAAGCGTGCCGCCCAGCTTGCCCTCGATGCCGAACTTGATGTCCGTGTCGAGGCGGTCGCCAATCATGCACGTCCGCTCGCGGTTCAACTGGAACTTGCCCTCGACAGCGTCCATCATAGCCTGCGACGGCTTTCCCAGCGCCACGGGCTGCTGCTGGCTCATGTTGACGAGCGGGATCGAGATGGAGCCCGCGCCGGGGAAGAACGTGTGCGACATGGGCAGCGTGCTGTCCGTGTTGGTCGCGAGGAAGACGGCGCCGCGGCGGAGGTACTGGTACCCCAAGCTCAACTTGAGGTAGTTAATGTGGAAGTCCAGTCCCGCGAGCACGACGCCGACTTCCGGGTCGAGGGCGGAGCCGTCGGCGATGGCGGCAAAGTCCTCGGGGCCGATGTCGCGGCGCAGAGCAGGGTCGGTGCCGCCGATGAAGTCGACGCCTTCGGCGCGGAGCTCGGCTTCGATTCCGGCTTCGCCAATGACGAAGACTTTGCGCTTGCCGGCGGGGAGGTCGAGGATGCGGGAGACGTAGACGGCGGAGGAGTAGGCTGAGCCAAAGATGTCTTCCACGTCCGAGGGGATGTCGAGGGCGGCGAACTTCTTGTGGTATTCTTGGCGGGACTTTGTCGAGTTGTTTGTTACGAAGACGGTGCGCTTGCCTGTTGGTGGGGGGAAACGAGCACTCAAGAGGTTAGGGGCCGAGACATGCGATTTGTAAGAGATTTTGTAAAGGGGAAAAGTTCAGGGTGAGCAACCTCTTGAGCGAAGGAAGGCGAGCGTCTCGCGAATGCCGTCGAATAGGTGGTCTCCGGACCAGAGGACGCCTGTTTGCGTAGGAGAAGAGTTGTCAGTTGTGCTCAGAAGAAGCGCTTGTTTCATCCGCAACGAGGACGATGAGAATTACCATCACAATCGATGAGGAAGACCTATATCTCATGAGATCAGCAAAGTCCTCATCTCATTTTCCGAACATCGTGAGATTCTCCACTGGTGAAAATGACTCAACGAGGTGGGGGTTGGTTGCTGCTCACGTCAAACTTGTCGAGGAATTCTTGAGTAGCGGCAGAGTCACCGGTGAGATATTTAGGCTGCTGTTGTTGAGACATCGTGAACTTTTGGGAGCTTGGTGTTTAGATTTCAACAAAAAGTCTATCGGACAGGGCTAGGTTACTAAGGTGAGAATGAGGTGCAGTTCGTTCTAGAGGTTGAGTTTCGGGATGGTGGGACAAGGGTGCGGAAGCGGGTTTCTGGCATGCGGCACTGACGACGGAGTGGGGGGACTGAGGTCGGACGGCCATCGTCCGATTGGTTCGCGGATGCTGGTGGTACTTAGAGGCCTTGCAAGTGACGGCTCGATCTGGATGACATGGGATTATTGAAACCTGGGGAGGATGGATAGAGACTAAGGGGAGGTCCAGAAACATGTCTGTAGCTCTCTGACATGGATACAATGGGCCAAGGATTTGTTATCAGGTCTCTCAAGTGTTGAGGCTAGCGGATGTTGGAGTGCCTAGGTATTTTGAGTAAGTAAAGTAGGTAGGAATTGTTCGATGAAATCTAAGATCTCATCGCCGCGTTGAGTGTCGTGCCTTCTTCCCCAGATTATGTCCATTGCAGTCGAGACAAGTAGAGTGGCTGGGCATGTTGTTCGCATTCATCTGATATTCTTACATATTCAATTCCAACCTCACCTCATGTCTGCGAAACCGGACCACTGCAGCATCTAACAATGCCAGCCCACATTCCTGTCCATGAACAGCGGCATGGCGCTCACAAGCATTTCAACAAAAATGGGGGTTTCCCCATGGGCCGGAGTGATTGAGAAATGCAGCTAGGTTCAAATGTACGTGCTCCAGCATGTCCAGCAACGCAAGTCAACCTAGAAGCATACATGCAACCTGGTGAATGGGATAGATGGAATGCAAGACAATAAGCGCCATGCAAAGCCCGTTCCGCTGCCGGTCGCAGTGGCTGAACGGCCCCCCACGCCGAGGAGAAGAAAACAAGCAAACGCTCCGGGTGCGGAGTCTCTATGCTCTGTCGGGCTTGCATTGCAGCTATGTCAGCACCTCTGCGTACCTGCTGACCATGTGTCTCCATTCGTAATCGCTTTCCTACCGCCTCGGCTTCGGCATGGACAGCATGCATCTAGGTACTGCGTAACTATCTGACTGCTGTTGACCAACGTTAAGCCGGGTGACGTCAGGTGGGGAGCTGTCATCGCATGGCAAAGATGAGTCGTTGAACGGAGTGTCCGGGCGTGGTGGCGTCGAGAACGGAATTTTCATATGCCAATTTTCTTAACTCCCCATCGCGTTGCCTCTTTCGGGTGACAAGGGTATCCGTACCGTAAATACGGTCGGCGCCAATGGGTACATCTGACAGTTCCCATCGACGTAGGTATGCCGATCTCCTTTAGCAGATTGGATTGAAGCGCAATCCGTCAGATCGCCCGCCGTGTCCGTCTGTCATCCTTCAGCTTCCAAGGGCCTGGGATAATAACGTCGAAGCGCCAGCGCGAAACCTCCGTGGGAGCCGGGTAGGATGCCGTCGCAGGTGCACGAGTGCATGGGGTCAACTTGGGTGGTGGCAGATGTTACTTCGCATGCAAATTGTCTGGAACTCTGGATCGGGGGCCATTGTGCCGATCAGCGGCAACGGACCAGACTAAGCGGCGGACCCTGAAAGTGTTAGTCCCTGATGATCAATCGATGGAATTCTGCTTGGCTCCGCTGCATTTCTGTCAGTGTAGCAACCACCACCGCGGCTCTCTTCCGTTCGCAACATCGTTTGGACCTCCGACTACGGCGTCGCAACTGCCATCCCAGTCCCGGGGGCTTTCAACCACACAATCCGAGGCCGAATTGCGTGCGCGGCATGCCATGGGGTCTGGTTCTATTGCTTTCTAAGCTGGACTTGGACCAGGATGAGGAAGTTGCCCGAAGCGGCCGACCACGGTCAGCACAATGCTTCATTCCTTGAGCGGTGTAGATGAATGTCTGCCTCACCGCTTTCGCAGGTTTCACCGACCAGGCAGAGACCCTGGGGAATGAGCGTGGGGTGTCGAGGGGGGGTTCAGGAGGAGAGGAGTTCAGGTGCAGCATCGTCGAGACCCTCGTCCGGGGAAAGGCACGGATCGTGCGTATTGGCCCTTGGGGGGCGTTTGGGTGTGGATGAGGTTGGTTGCTTGGCTGGGCGGCTGACAGGCTGGCCACGTTCGGCGTGGGGGAGCTAAGCCAGGTGAAGCATGGAAAAGGTCCCGTGTAAGGAAGGTGTAGCAGACAACACCGACTAGTACCTACTTTAGACTCAGAAAGAGAGAGCGTGTGTGGGAAAAAAAAAGTTCACTAGTTTGATCCGTCTCTACGGACCCTTCCCGGGTGAAAAATGGAATTCGCCGAGGCACTTCAGGTGATGAACGAGTTTTCATCGCTATTGCCCTTTCGGTCCGTTGCTTCTTCCCATAGAGAGACACATCAGACACACATCCAAAAAGAAAAAAAAATCAGGTCGTTTGCTTCAGACGGAAAGCATTATAAATCTGCTCCTCCCCGCTTGCCACACACCACACATGTTCGGACTTTACGGTCACAAGTCACAAGGATAGCCAATTTTGGACCGGAAGAGCCTGCCGTCGATATTTTGACTTTCTTTCCCTCGTCACGATCACCCAAGGTTCCCTCGGCCGCCGTCCCTTTGCGCCCAAAAACAGCAGCATTAACAATTAGATCGATCCGAGAGCTCTCCTCCGCCCACCTCCAACGTCAACCACATCCACACATACCACGGTTCCCTGGCTCGTCCGTACCTTGCGGCCCTTTCTCCATAACCTTGTCCACCTTGGCCCAGATTAATCCCTATTTTTCCTCCCACACCCACTCAAAATAGTCCCGCGGAACCTGACTCTTTCCTACGGACCTACGCTATCTTTCTCCACCGTCCCAAACAATCGTCTCGTCAGCATTGGACCGAAGAAAGGCGGCAAATCAGACCCCACCGGAGACAGCTTTTCGATAGCCCATATATCAGCAGCCATGGCTCCCCTCCCTATCTCTGAAGAGCAACTGCTCAATCTTTCAACTCTTCCCACCTACGACTACACAATGGCTTCTCAGGCACACAACGTTCAGACGCCCGTCACGGGTTCCACCGACGCCTCTGTCCAGGGCGACTACTTCACCTCTATCCAGAGCTCTACAACCACCTCTTCGCGCACATCTGCCGAGATCCAGGATCGCCCCGTTATCACTCCTGGCGGCACCGTTACGACCTCTTCCGCGCTCCAGAGCAAGAACCCCCTGCCGCCCCTCTCCCGCGACTTCCCCAAGCCCGCCGCCGAGATCGACGTCGAGGAGGCTCTTTCCCGCAAGCCTGGCCGTTGGACTGTCAGAGGAGCCATTGCCGTCGAGCGACCCGTCCAGGTCGTCGACGAGGAGAAGGTCAAGGCCCAGCGCCGCAAGGCCCTTGAGGATGCCAAGAGGGAGCTCTTCGCCTCTAGCGAGGCTCTCAAGAACGTTCCGCTCCCGCCGCGCAAGAACAACTTCTAGGCGACGACGAATCACGGTCAAATGGGACAAGATGTCGCTGGCTACAGCAACGGCGACACAACCCACGAGTTACCGCCGGCGACGATGATTGAATTTCGGTGTTCTTGCATTTTCAGTACACTTCGACACACGGCTTGTTCGGCTCGCGAACGGACTCGCGTCGAGCACCTTGCGCCAGTTGAAGACGATACCCAGGCGTAAAATCGGATTGATGGACGGGCGGACGGAGGAAGCACTAGCAGTCTGCGAGGAAGGCAGAGGCGTCGGACAGCGCAACACCAGGGCAATCAGTAGCGCACAGAGACGAATGTCTTTGCACCTCACCAAACGGCGTTTCATTCGAGCATGAGCAACTTCTTATTTTTCGGGGGGTTCACTTGATGAACATGATTAAAAGGGACGGGAGAAGTGAGAACGTACTGCGTTTTGCGGTAATCTGCCGACTTGTACATACGTGCAAATGAGTCAAATCCTAATACACGGCTTCGGCCAACCTAACCAGTCACCTAATCTCCTTACACTACTATACATGGACGTGACCTTAGTCAAGACGAGCTGCTAGCGAGAAACCGTACTGGATCATGGCAATGAAGCCAGCCAGGTTGATTAGGGTGGAGATGCCGTGAAGCTTGCCAAAGGACTTGTTGAGAGCCTGCATCTCCTGAGAATGCGGCGCGGCGTCGTAGCTCTTCTTTCCATCCTTCTTCTCTGTGTCCACTAGTCAGTACCACCACCCTTCGGCCAGCCGTAGACGCCGATGCGATGCGGGGGCTGTCATCAGTGCCAAACTCACCTTGGGCATATCTAGCCTTCATGACCGTCACGGTCTTGGGCAGGACGACGGCAAGGTTGACGAGGCCCGTGAGGAACATGGTGGCGATGGGCAGCAGGGCGGTGTAGCGGTTCGACTCCTGGAGGAGGCCGGTGATGCTGCTGGCCTGCTCGCCGAGGAGGCCGCGGCTGCCCGGGTAGGTGAGGGCCATAAGGGCGGGGAGAGCCGTCTGAATGGTGAAGTAGACGGGGAACAGGGCGTTTTGGGCGGTTGCAAAGGCCGGCCGCTCGAGGACGCGGAACATTGTGATGCCGTTTACAAAGGACTTGTTTGGCCTGTTAGGGTACTTTGATCCAGGATCCGGATTGTGGTGGTGACTTACATGGAAGAACGTCGTTCCTAGGAGGGCTCCATAGCTATGTTGATAGTATTAGAGTATCGATGAACGACGAAGGATGATCTGACTCGATGCACTCTGAGAGAGAACGACTTACGAGATGATGTGGTAGGGACCCGGGGAGAATGCGATGGAGTCTGACATGACGGGCAACGGCGGTCACTGATGCAAGGTGTTTGATAATGGTAGATTACCCGTTTGGAGTGAGGTTGGATGATGAAGAGTGGTTGCATTGATTGAGAGGCTATAGAATGATGCGGCGCCATCTGGAACGAGCCGCTCGTGAGGAGTACAGGGGTCCCGTCGAATGTATGAGGTCACCTCGGCATAGCTCCATTCCTTGCACCAGCGGGTGCAAGCTCGGGGTCCTTAAAGTTCCGTCCTTACCTC